TTATTTTAGTGGAAGTTATGTTTCGTCACTATATTTTCTACTGGCAACAATCCAAAAGACGAGACACAATTCATTGCAGAAAATGAGTTACGAGTCTGTCGCTTTATATTTGTGAGTTAGTTCTAGCCTTCTAGTCCAATGTTGTGTGGTATATATTATGCTCTAGGAAACATTGTACATTAGGCAGATCAAAAAGTGATAAGTGATGTAGTGGCTTTTCGTATATTGATTTAGAAACCAAAGTTCAAACTTTTATTTTATTTTTTCATTTTTATTCTCTTTCATTTATTTTCTTTTCATTGTCATGAACTTACTTACATTTCGATACAAACGAATTTTATAATTGGAGTTTAGTGTATTGTAAGGACACATTAATAATTTCCACCAATGATGAGTTTTGAGCTAGTAGTTAGAGTATCTTCAAGAGACTCTTTATTTATAAAGAATATCTTGCTTTTCTCAAGAAATATTTATTGATTTCTCCTCATATTTTATTTAATATATTATTTTATGTTTCAATGGCCAATCAATTTAAATGTGGTTTGAATAGTTTAAGAAGTAGAGTATTGAAATATGTAATTTACTAAATGCAATCATTGTACATTAAGAATAGAGATTGAGTTTAACTTCTAAATTGGAAAGTCAAACCTACTCTTTATATTAAAAAGTTAAAATAGAAAATCTCTTGAAACTTATTTTTAAGTATTAGCTCTTTAAAATAAAGAGCATTTTGCATTTAGAGAATCTCTCGAAGATGCTCTTAGATAGTGGTATTTAGTGAAATATTGAGAAAGTAAACGTAACAAGAACCTTGAAATCTACAGGCTATATAGATGATCATCAGTGGTAGATTGTTTTAGAGCATATTTGGGACACAATGTTGGACAAGACACTACAATATACAAGATTTTTGCTTCTTTTCTTCTTTACCAAACAAGTTATAAGTTCATAAATATGTACTCTTCTACATGGAATGTTTGTACATTGAGTTCAACCCAATTAAGTACTTGGTGAAATTCTTATTTTGTTACAAGTATACTAGAGGATGATTCTACCATAGAGAGCTCCACTAATGGTTCACTTGATTGAGAGACATAGCGCCTCTTGGGAAAACAAGAACTTATGTGAGAGGTTGCTATTGAATTTTCAATCCCAATACCTAGAAATTGACAAGAAATATTTTTGAGCATATAACTTTGCAAAATCTTTTCATTTACAAGTTGTGGAAGTTAGTAATATGTTGTTCTGTAAGCATTCTAATTTATTTAATTATTTTCTCAATTTGTACGATAAGCAAGGGCGAGGCTAATAGTTCATTCCACACTTTTATCAGAGGCTGAATAGATCATCAAAAGAAGAATTAGGCCAAAAATTTGGGCCTTGTTTGACACACATTAAAAATTTCATTCTCATTCTTCTACTCATTTTCAACCACACATTTTTCATCAATCTACTATTTCAAAATACATTCTTCCAAAATAATATCCATCAAACTCACCCTAGGATACATTCCCGGGAATTTCGCTATCTTGGAACTGTTATTATGGCCGCCGTTCACCAGGCCCAATCCTTTGTAGGAACTACCTGTAATAACGAACTTGCAAAACTGATATGTTATCATAGAGAGATTTGTCATTCCTAACCCTGAACGACGACTGAAACTATAACGGTCCTAAAGCAGCAAAATTCCTTGTTGGGTAAGTTCCAACCCGCATGACAGGCGTCTAGAACTTGATTTAGCGGCTCTTTCCAAAAGGCGGTGCCTTTATTCTTGACACAGAAAGGGACACCGTGAGGCAATAGTCTGCTTCGCTAGACTATCTTCCTCCTTCTCTCGATCATTTCAGGACGAAAGAAAATTTTATTACAATTTGTAGAAAGCTTGCAACATGAAATTGAAATGCATTGAAACTAAATTGATCATTGATTGCTTGAAAGCTAGAAATTACAATAGATAAAAGTAGGAAATTACAATGGCTAGTGCATGGGACGAACACTAGAAATCTTGAAAGTTTGTTTGAAAGACTAATACCCTATATAATAGTATTCTACACAAAAATCTAAGTGATAGGAGTAGACGTTTATATGTCGAGGAATCATACTAAACTTTTCCATTTATTTTACAATTGAAATAAAATATTTATAATGTGCGGCTGAAGTTAGGAAAACTGTGGCTGCAATTGGGTCACTGGGCTTAAGTAAAACTGTGGTCCGTAACATTCTCCCCCATTTGTTTTGGCGACGTCCTCGGAGCCATCAATGAATGATATACTTCAATTAATGGTTTGAAGGCTTCAAGGTCTTTTTTGGTTTCCCAATTCTTCTACTCGCTGTTGCATTCGCACTATTTGACCAAGTACTCTTGAAAATATTTCCCAGAGGCTCGAGTAGTTTGATGGCCAAGAATCTCTTCAACAACATTCTTTTTGGATCTTTTCAATTTTAGCTCAGGTCGCTTCAAATCTGCAGACTTTTTGTACCGTTTCTGAGCGATATCCATGGTATGAGAGAGTAATGGTTACTGGCCAGTAGCAATCTCAAAAGTACTCTTATTGGAAGAAGAGCTCTTTTGGATATTGAAACACATCCGGGTTGCATTCAGGAGTTTTACCCAAATTTTTTGCAAAGCAGAAATAAAGTGTCAAAGATAGTCTTCCAGCATAGCATTAAAGCGCTCCATCTGTCCGTCAGATTGTGGATGAAAACTCGAACTCATGCTTAAAGTTGAACCAAGAAGTTTGAACAACTCGGTCCAAAATATGCCAGTAAATCGAGGATCCCGATCGCTGACGATGTCCATAGGCATTCCCTAGTATGTTTGAAGAAGAGTTGAGCTATCTCTTCGGCTGTTATGAATGTAAATCGAGAATCCTGATCACTGACGATGTACTTATGCAGTCCCTAATATTTAACAATACGTTTGAAGAAGAGTTGAGCTATCTCTTCGACTGATACATCCTTGGTTGCTACGATGAAAGTTTCATTTTTAGATAAGCTATCTACCATGGTGATGATAGTGCTAGAATTCTCAACTTTTGGCAATCCACCAATGTAGTTCATCGATACGCTCTCGAATGGTATGTTAGGGATGAAAAGGGACTCCAGTAAGTCTACCCTTTTCTGATGGTCCGCCATATCTTGCTGACAAATAAGACAAGTTTTCACATAACTTGTATTGTTGTCCCGCCTTGAGACTAGTAGTATGCACGTTGTAGTAGTGCAGATGTGCGCTCCATAGTATTCTCACTTCCCAATATTTCTTCCAACTGTTTTCGAAGCTCTTCAAGCTCTGGCCGAGACATATGACATGGTGCCCTAGTGGGAGGTTTGGGACCCGAAACAAGTTCAATCTAGCAATCATTGCCCTCCTTAGTGACAATTTCTTTGGTAACTCATTTGGCTTGATGTCCTAAAATTCCTTAACAAGCCTTCTGACAGGTTTTGGAATTGGACTAGTGGTCTCTTCAATCTCCTCTAATCGAATAGTGCACAAAAACGAGGGTTCATTCCTCTTGAAACCTTTAGTATATTGCACGGCTGAGATACCCCTCTCCCTTGTTTTCCCAACTTGTATAGGGATAACGTATGTTTTACTACCCATCATTACTAACGAGTCGGAATGCAGCAACATCGCTGATCTCGTATCCCTAAGAAATTCCAATCCCAAATGAGCTTAAAATTATCCATCTGAACTGCCGACAAATTAGTCCTTCCCTCAAAGGGACCTACTTTGATCAACACGGATTTCGTTACTCCCGCTATTGGTTGAGAAGTGGAGTTTATTGCTTTAACTTTTCCCTTACCTTCTCATAGATCAAGTTCGAGCTGCTCTGCTTTGGTACTTGCGAGGTAGTTGTGGGTAGCATCGATATCTATCATACCCCTGATTGGCTTTCCATTGATCTTCACATCAATGTACATCAGGTCTTTCATCCTACAAGTGCGAGCTTTCGATTCTTCCAACTTCGGCTCTTTCAAGGGATCATCATCCCTTTTAGTAACTCGATGCGATCCTTATCCTCTTCGGAGTCAGTTTCGCCATGACATCTAGCTTGTGGGGTACTTTGCGTTGAATTGGTTTCACCACTTGCTAGTAGACAATATGCATTCACCATCCATTTCTGAGGACACTCTGCCACCCGATGTGGTCCTTCACATAAAAAGCATTTCAATTTAGGAGAGGCATCAGATCTGTCCTCCGTTGCTTTAACTTTTCCCTTACCTTCTCACAGATCAAGTTCGAGCTGCTTTGCTTCGGTACTTGCGAGGTAGTTGTGGGTAGCATCGATATCTATCATACCCTTGATTGGCTTTCCATTGATCTTCAATGTACATCAGGTCTTTCATCCTACAAGTGCGAGCCTTCAATTCTTCCAACTTCGGCTCTTTCAAGGGATCATCTTCCCTTTTAGTAACTCGGTGCGATCCGTATCCTCTTCGGAGTTAGTTTCGCCATGACATCTAGCTTGTGGGGTACTTTGCTTTGAATTGGTTTCACCACTTGCTAGTAGACAATATGGATTCACCATCCATTTCTGAGGACACTCTGCCACCCGATGTGGTCCTTCACATAAAAAGCATTTCAATTTGGGAGATGCATCAGATCTGTCCTCCGTTGCTTTTCCTTGTTTCCAATTGTTACTCTGATGGTTGCCTTGTAAGGCTCCTCCCCGATTCTGAGAGTAACTCTTTCCCCCATTTGAGTTCGAGCTGGGTCTATAAGGTCTATTTCCACCTCCACCATACTGACTATTTCTCGAAGGTCAATCATCTCTCGATTCCTGTTTGTTGTAATTTAGTTGATTAACAGCATGTTTGGCTAAGCTTATTCGGTTCTTACTGCCAAAGAAACACCAAATAAGTTATTTATAAACATAGCCAAACGCCCCTCCATGTCCATTTCTCACTTAAACCTAAAACCCTAATCTCTTCGTCAGCACAAAACACCCAACTTCGTCTGCCGATTGCCAACCATTCTATCACGAAAAAATCAGAGAGAGATGGGAAGCGATAGCGAGACAGAAAAAAGTGCCCACAAAGAGAGAGAGAAGAAGAAGTTACTGGCTCTTGCCCCCATCGCTAAACCCCTTGCCGGCAAAAAACTTTGCAAACGCACCCTCAAACTTGTCCGCCGAGGTTGTATAAATATTTATAACTTATTCTATGTGCATATCTCTGGGTGGGTTGTTCTGTTTCATCTAATTTGTTTGATGGGTTTTCGGATTTCAGCTGCAGAGCACAAGTGCTTGAAAAGAGGAGTTAAGGAGGTGGTCAAAAGCATTCGCCGTGGAAATAAAGGGTATGTCGATTTTCACATGGATAAATCGTTGTTCTCTTTGATAAATGTGAATATTTTTGTTTTTCCTGTTTTCCAGTTAATAATTTGCACAGTTATACATACATGTTAGACATTGGTTTCTTTAGACAAATTTTTGTTGGGTGCAGTTTAATTGTAGTTACAGTGATCCTCTTGAAAAACTTATTTAAGTTCAGATTATATTGTTTCTGCTGAGTTTAGAGAATGAAGAAAATGCAAATTTCAAATTCTTTACGATAACACTGAATAGAAAAACAAATGGGTGCTTTATTAGATGGCGTGGACACAAGACCTCGTGATTAGATCAGAAAGAGGAAATGTTTTGATGTTTAAACAGCAAATTAGGTGATTCGAATTTGGGATGTAGCCAAGTATATTTTTGGGCTCGAACTACAATTCTTTTTCCTTTTAGCTCGTGCGCGCGCGCAATTGAATGTTTGGGGGAAGGGGAAGATATGAATATGCTTGTTTGGATTATTTAATTTTGTTTGGTCCAAGCTATTCAGTCTACTGATGTTCAATGTAGCTTATTTTTGAACATTGTGCTTTTATATAACTTGTGGAATATGGAGTTGATGTACCTGTATTCTTTATGATGATGACAGATTATGTGTAATAGCCGGGAACATATCTCCGATAGACGTCATCACTCATGTTCCAATCTTATGTGAAGAAGCTGACATTCCATATATCTATGTTACCTCAAAAGAAGTAAGGGTGTTTTCTTCACTCCCTTGTATTATATTTTGTGTATTATTGCCTAATTGATTAGTTGTCTACTTCTTTAGTGAACCCATCACCCCGAGGGAAAAAAAGACCACCAAAAAATGATTAAGAAAAGTGAAGATAGAAATGGTTAATCTTGAAAATGGAGAAACTCTGTTTATAGCATGAGTTTTGTACAGTCACTTTTCTTCTGCAAAGATTTGAATCAACTTTTGGAATTTCAAGGGTTCACCTCTCTCACTGCTTTTAATTGCAGTAGTGTATAAAGAATGCTACTGTTTACCAGTAGGAAACATTAGTAAAATTCTATTTTTAGGCTGCTTTCCAAAACTAGACTGATAAATGTTATAAGCACAGTTGCTAGAATTTGAGCTTGCTTCAGTTGCTAATGTCTAGCGGCTGCAATTCTATGTATTAATATATTTACACTAGAGATTGTTAGAAATAATACAGCAGATGTACATATAAACAAGATCAAACTCTCCCCCTCTTTTGTAATTGGCATGTGAGTTTTATTAGAATTATTGCAAAAAAATCAAGTATATCTCCAGCCACCTAGATTTGAACTCTGCTTATGCGATAGTCATTTTAATTTCAGTCTTACTGAAAATTCAGACATTTTTAGGTTTGAAACATGTTTTCGTGCATATTCATTTAGTAATGAAGACTGAAGTATTACGCAAGTGTAGTCCCATTCCGAACAAAAATACGTAACTTTATGTGTCAAAGTAGAAAATAAGTTACTTATTTTGATAGTTCAAATTAAGTAACCTTTTTAAAGTTATCCAACCGTTCTGCTCAATAGTTCTCTTAGAAAGTAACTTCTACTTTTTAAAGCTAAAAAAAGTTAAGGGTCCATTTGATTGAAAGAGTGGAATTTGGGTGGAAAGAAAATGAATTCCAGAGAATTAAATTGTCTAGAATTATTTTCCTGGGAATTGTCAATTAATTGTGTTTTATTAGTATAATTTTCCACTTGGAAAATATTGAAATTTTGGATCTTTTGATGTTCGTTTACTTGGAAATTGTCTAATAAAAGGAAAAAAATTTTACAATTGGGGATATAATTTGTTTCCAAAAAAAAAAAAAAAGATCATTTTCTTTGTACATCATGCAGTTCATGCATTATTTTTGTGCGTCATAAGATTTTAATTTTCTGTAAGACAAAATTTATGTTGATAATGTTGATGCAATCAGCACCAGATGGATCGAATTCGAGTTCTAGTCATCCCCACAAAATATTTCTTGCACATTCTTTTCTCCTCGGCCTGGCTTTCTGCAGTGCTGCTCTGAATCGATCCGCTGGTATACATTACCCACTTGTTCGGAAGGGTAGATTGAACTGTATGAATTCTTTACCATACTTCGTAGTCCTAGCCCATATTATGTAGCAAACATACCCTAATTTCTATTTACTGTAAATGCGTAAGGTACAAAATAAAATTAAAATTTCTTGTGATATCTACAGGAACCGTCCAACTGCTGCACATGTTAACGGAAACTTCAATTTACCAAATGTGTACTAGCCTTGTGTATCAAGAAATTTGTCAAATATTGGTGGTCTTTCATGTGGTGTTAAACAAGCTGCAGGAACTACATCTAATGTATGATTTTTACTAAAGAGCCTGCACGTAAGATGCACTTAAGGTGCATGTAATTGGATTTGACAAAAATTTGACGCTTGATCTTATGGAGTTTATATGTATGATATGTATGTTTAAGGGCTTTCTTTTTAGTGGTTGGGGTGACTGCTGAGAACAATGATTTGCATTCTTTAGTTTACAAAACTACAATTAATTCTCGAACCTTATAGAGTTGGGTAACAACTGTGAGTTATGCATTTTACTCATTATTTTTCATAATCATAAAAGGCCTGTCTTCATTGTCATGAAACAGCAATTACATGTGCTGTTTTGAGTTTTAAGCAGATTTGGCAGCCTGCTGCCTATGTTTAACATTTGTAGGATCTAATCCGAAGTAAAGAAAAGTTGCATCTGACCAAAAAATTAGAGGAACGTCATAATCATTATTATTCAAATACAAAGATTCTTCCACCTCTAGACTGAAAGGGGCAAAAAGAGGTTCGTCACAAAAAACAACTGCTGTCGAACTTCACAAACTCAAGGTGTAGCTAAGCTGTGATACCAAATGATATAGGTGAAAGCGATAAACAGAGAAGAACACTAGAACAATCCTAAGAACACATAGATTCACAAAGAATAATGCGAATTTAGAAATCAGTTATTTGTTTATTCGTGCACGAGTAATGAATAAGTGATCTTGATCGAAAAAATCATTTATTTCAAAAATTACTGCTATCAGACCAAAAAGAATTGGAAATTCTAAGTTCTATGTTTTTTATTTGAAATTATGATGTTCGACCCAAATTACACCTAGAAGGGGGTGAATAGGTGATTATGCAGAATTAAAAATTAATAATTAAATAGCAACAAGTCACTTTTAATTATTTCTAGATAATTAATCAAACATTCCAATTTTCCTATATTGAATTACTACAGTTATATGAAAACAGTAAATAACACATAGAATGATCATGGAGAAACTCCAATTGGATAAAAATTTAGGGCACTTTGCCAGTCAAAAATCCACTATAAACGAATTTTGAACTTACAGTCCTCTAGACACGACTACCAATAGTATTTTCTGACCTTCGACTGCAATTCCCACATCCCTATTGGATTGCGTGCTCCTACACTAACTCCCTGCTACAATTTTCAAAGTCTCTTGGATTGCGTACTCCTACACCAACTCCTGGCTTTATGAATACGTTTTTCTCCTGTGGATCAACGAAGAACTCTGCGCTCTCCAACAATTGGAACTCGTGTCACCTTCTTTTGATCCTCAAAACTCTAACAGGTGTTTAGGAAATAGTAGTTTGGTATTTAGATTATATGGATTTGATGTTTTCACCGCCAAGAATGAATCAAACTATGAAGGTTGAAAGCTTATAGATGATTTTGATGAAGATGATATGAAGCAATATGTGTTTTCTTAATGTTCAACCTTCTCAAAAACCATTCAAAGGCTTTCTGGTATTTATACTATAGGTTTAGAGTTGAATGCGTGGGATAAAAAGTCTTAAAAAGTATTAAAATTTTTCGGATAACGCTGTCGCTCGAACGAGAGTTTAGCGATAGGTTGTTGCTCGAGATAAAGGCAAGGTCGCAAGCGGACAACAATGTTTCTGTTTCTGCCGCTTGAGCAAAGTCATAGCGACAGTCTAGCGAAATTGCGACGCCGTTTTTTCTTTCTTTCCATTTTCGAACTGTAGACCTAATACAACTCAATTTATAATATTTGCAACTGTAATCCTTGACTTTTACAACATACTAATTTTAGTCATATTTGTTTATAGACTTGCCAATTACATTAAAAACCTAACATTATCCAATAAACAAAGAAGAAATAACGACGTTGTAAGTGTATCTTAAATAGTAAATCCTACATATTACAAAGTAAATCCTAGCAAATAAATGACGAAAAATAACACTAACTAAGGATCATAATAAAATGAGCTTTAAATATTAATCTAAATAATTAAGCAATTAAACCCTATGTATTTGATTAATCACGTATCTAATCTCAAGCTATCGAGATCTTCGTTTTCATGGTTCTTAGACGTTCTCACTCATTTCCAATATGCTCTCTATATTTCTCTTGGATTCTCTACCTATTATTTTTGTCGAGTTCCATACTTCATCATATTACATGAGGTTTCTCTAACATTGATAAGTTCATTTACTTTGTTACACATAAAATTTAAAAAGATAAATAAATAAATTTTGTCCCTCTCTAATAACTTTTGTTTCTACATGAGTTAGTTCAGATTAAGTGTCAAGCACACGACCTATGTTCTCTACACTCACCGCAGCCCTTTTCACAAAAATTGTGCACATACATAAAAAATAATTACAACCTGCATGTAAGAAGCATGCTGAAGAAAAAATTTACATGAATCAATATATCCCTTCCTTAACACTTTAGCTTCAATACGACGTTGGAAAAGATACTTCGAGGTCAAAAATTGTCTGCACGTAAGGTGCATGTAACTGGAATTGTCAAAAATACAACGCATGATCTTATGATCGTCTAATGCAGCGGTATTAACAATTTCAAAATGGCATCGAACTTCTATGTGAACATGCGTGTTATTTAAGTGACACTTAGAACTTGCAGCTCCACACATGGTACAACTTTCAAGGAATTTATTCAACTAAGGGTATGCCATTCTCCCAAAACCAGTTTCAAGCCGTGAACCATTATTATTTATATATGTCATTTCGAAGTTGCTCGAATGCTCTTGAAAATGCTACTTTCTATATAAATGGTTATCGGCTATCCGGAGATCTATCTTCTTGTGGTGGTTCTCAGGGTAATTAACTTTAAAGGGTGACAGTATTACTTTTAACTGCAGTTCTTCTCTACAACCATGATCATTTTCTTATTATACTGGCTTTTGATGCAAAATCATAACATTGGGTACTTGCAACAGAACCAAGAATTTAACATTCATAGCGAGGAGTATCCTGCTTTACTAGGAAATCTAGGTACTTTGATGCCTAGACAAATCATAATTGCTATTTTACTCATCGTTTTTTACATTGATAAAAGGTCTGCCTTCTTTGTTGATGAAAAAGCAATTGCATGTGCCATTGTTTATAATTGAGAGCTAGTTCCTTATGTGTAAAAATTGTTAGATCTAAAAGCCAAGTATAACAAATCTGAAATCTTATCCAAAGTAAAGGAAAGTTGCAAATTTCCGACGGTGATAGCCATTCCATCTAAGCAAGGTGTTGTGTGGGCTTGTTTTGATTATAAAATATTTTAGCTGCAGTCACAAAGAGCTTTATTGGTTATTTCGTGTTTCAATTTTTCATAGAAACTGTATGGCGCATGATAGTTTGTTAAAATAATGATTTAATATGCAAATGAATCAGCATATAATTTCTCATCCTTCTTGCTATGAGTGTCGCATAACTTCAGTTGAATCAGTATGTTTGCTATTTTTCTGATGGTACTATTTGGTGTCTGACTACCACACAAGAAATTATAATATCCGTGCGTGAACTAGAAAAGACTGGCAAAGGTTCCAATACGGTTTCAACAGCATCGTAGCGCTTGATATGGCGTCTTGTTACTTGCCCATATCAGAGTAAGCTGTACGAATAAATCTGACACCTTCCCCTATTCCTGCCTACGTATATAGGATATTTTAAGAAGTGAACATCTTTCTTAGTAGCAGGGCCACAAGAAAGAATAGGAAAGGTGATTTCATTATATTTCTGACTAGGCACAGACTCTATTACAAGAATTTTTTTTTATTGGGGTGATTGCTCTGAAAAGACAAATTGCATTTTTTTTTCTTAATTTTAGTTCAGCATCAGCTTATACTTGTTTTACAATCAGTGCATGCTTGGGTTACAAAATTGCCACATCGGAGCTCCATGTAAACTTTTTGTCTGTCTTTGAATTATAACTATCTCAATGCGCTGGGATTTTCTCAAGCTCCGCAAATACACACCAAAATGAACAGATCACGACAATATGGAAAATTTAATGAAGTATCAGCAAATGGCTGAAAATTATAGTAGTTGAACATGCCGTTCACAAGGAACACCATGGATGTCTAACTATTAATTAGCATTATTTTTATTTTCTGGATTGAACTATGGGGACACATATTCAACTCATCATACTCAGAATCAGTATCGTAGTTCATCTAGTGAAGTTTCCTATCTTAACTCAGGCAATTTATTTCATGGTTCTAAGGTATTGTCACCCACTTCAACTATTCTCTCTGAGTTCAATTGCATTCGATCCTGACCTCTATGAAGCCAGAGGATTTCCTGTTGTATACTTCATGCGACTGGATGAAGCCAGAGGATTTTTGTCTTGTTGTATACTTCATGCGACTGTATGAAGCCAGAGGATTTCCTGACATCTATAGTTGTTAGAATGTGGAACCGGAATTATCCAAAAATTAAAAAAAAAATTTCTTTAATTCAATAAACAAGACCGTCTAGATGTTCACGTGTATATTATATCAAGAATAAAGGATTCGAATTTTACCTAAATTCGATGATTAATTCTTGAAATAATTATTCATCACGAACTTCTAGTTTTTTGGATCACGAGCTTCCAGCTTTTAATTACAAGAACTTGATACTTCAAACTTTGAAGTCTTCTATGGTATTCTCCAAAGTCAAGACTATACCGTGAGTGGGCACCTTCTTTTAATTAAATTAAGAAACTAATTCTTGGATTTGACAATA